AATCCACTCACCTCAGTCTCCCAAAGCACGGGATTACAGGCTGAGCCACCGAGCCTGGCTCTTTTTTGTTTTGAGTTGGAGTTTTACTCTGTCACCCAGGCTGGAGTGCAATGGCATGCTCATGGCCGCCACAGGCTGGACCTGCTGGGCTCAGGCGTTCCTTCTGCTTCAGCCTTCCAAGTAACTGGAGCTATAGGCACGTGGCACCACACCTAGCTAATTTTTCCTGTCACCTCCGGCCCTGCACAGTGGCTCACACCTATAATTCCAGCACTCTGGGAGACTGAGGCGAGGATTTCTGGAGCCCATGGGTTCGAGACCAGCCTGGACAACTTGGTGAGACCTCATCTCTACAATAAATCAAAAAATTAGCCAGGCGTGGTGGAACACGCCTGTTGTCCTAGCTACTTGGAAGGCTGAGGTGGAAGGATCGCCTGAGCCCAGTGGCTCTAGGCTGCGGCGGCTGTGGGCGTGCCACTGCACTCCAGCCTAGATGACAGAGTAAAACTCCAACTAAAAAAAAAAAAGTAAACTTTCCACCCCTCATTTATTTCTTTTTTAGGCCAAAAACAGTCATCAATGCAAAAACGGATACATTAGACATCATTAAAATTCAAAACTGTTGCACTTTGAAAGACCATTAAGAAAATTGAAAGACACACAACAGGTCAGGCTTGGTGGCCCATGTCTGTAAGCCCAGAATTTTGGAAGGCCGAGGCCAGAGAATTGCTTTAGGCCAGAAGTTCAAGACCAGCTTGGACAACATAGTGAGAGAATCTAAAAAAAAAGTTAGCTGGGTGTGTTGGTGCGTACCTATACTCCCAGCTACTTAGTAGGTTGAGGCAAGAGGATTCTTTGAGCCTAGGAGTTCGAGGTTACAGTGAACTATGATCATGCCAGTGCACTTCAGCCTGGGTGACAGAGTGAGACTTTGTCTCTTAAAATACAAAAAAATTAAGCTGGGCTCGGTGGCTCAGCCTGTAATCCCAGTGCTTTGGGAGGCTGAGGTGAGTGGATTGCCTGAGTCCGTGGGTTCGAGACCCATCTGGGCAACTTGGTAAGACCTCATCTCTACAATAAATAAAAAAAATTAGCCGGGCGTGGTAGCGCACACCTGTAGTTCCAGCTACTCGGAAGGCTGAGGCAGAAGGATCGCCGGAGCCCAGCAGGTCGAGGCTGTGGTGGCCAGGAGCGGCCACTGCACTCCAGTCTGGGCGACTGAGTGAGACTCCAACTCAAAAAAATAAATAAATAAAATAAAATAATTTTAGGCCAGACGTGGTGACTCACGCCTATAATTCCAGCACTTTGGGAGGCTGAGGGCGAGAGGATTGCCTGAGCCCATGGGTTCAAAACCAACCTGGGCAACTTGGCGAGACCTCATCTCTACCATAAATCAAAAAGTTAGCTGGACGTGGTGGCACGTGCCTGTAGTTCCAGCTACTTGGAAGGCTGAAGCGGAAGGATCACCTGAGCCCAGCAGGTAGAGGCTGTGGTGGCTGTGAGCATGCCACTACACTCCAGCCTGGGCGACAAAGTGAGACTCCAACTCCAAAAAGTAAAAGATAAAAAAATAAAGTTCAAAAAATTAAATTAAGTTAAAAAAAGACAACATACACTGGAGGAAATATTTGTGGAACACATCTGATAAAGGATTTATATCCATAATATACAAAGAACACTTATAACTCAATAATAAAAAGACAACCCAATCAAATAACGAGCAAAAGAACAAACATTTCATCAAAGATACGCAAATAGCTGATAAATACATAAAAGAGGTCAATATCATTAGTCATTAGGAAATGCGAATTAAAGTCACAATCATATACTATTTCTTACCCACTAGAATGGCCATAAGATAGGCAGTAATGTTGGCAAGGATATGAAGACCCTGGAACTCTCATGCATTGTTGTTGGGGAATGTGAAATGGTCAGCCCTTTGGAAACTGGCAGTTTCTCAAAAAGTTAAATGTAGACCGGGTGCAGTGACTCAACCTATAATCCCGG